CCTGGGAATGAGAAACTACAGTGGCCTAAATGTTACACACTGGACCTTTTTAAGGGACATTTTGACATTTTTAAACTTGATACAGTAGCTAAGACTTACACTAACACTGGGAAAATGGAGAAATAGGTAGCTTGGCTTTGTCTAAACGTAGAAAAATCAGCCGACCAAGTAACACATCTAATCTGCATAAAAGTGTAAAAACAACAAGCAGAGACTCCAGGAAGTCACTGCGCCCAGCCAAGAAATAGTCCGATATTCACTCTCTTTTAGCTCTAGTGACTAGCTGATTAACATAGTGGAGCATTTAGCAGCTAAAGAATCAGATATTTCCCTCAGGAGTTGGTAGAGAGGGTAATTATTGGGCTTTATTCATCAGGTGGACAGAAACACTGCCACCGAGTGGCCAAAAATACAGTTGTTGCAGGCTTAACAATAACAAATTAAAGCTTAAATCTGCTGTTTGTAACTCCAGGTGAGTGAATAAATATGTAAAATAACTCTGTGGAGTTATTTATCTTCTCCTGGTTCTCCTCCTCCAGCTCGGCTCCTCCTCCTCCGTTCCCTTCTCCTCCATCTTCTCTCAGCTCTTCATGACTGTTGTGGTTCCTCTGATCCTGGGTCAGGTAGGAATGTGTGTGTTCTGTACAGAAATGGTTAAATATGTCCGACTGTCGTGTTGTTAAATCTCTCTTTGGTGTTTGTGTGTGCAGGTGTGTCGTGGTTTCCTCAGGGAGTATCTGGAGCGGAGAAAGCCTCCGTTCGGTGCCGTCAGCAGCGCCGTCCTCCTCATGATCATCTATACCACCTTCTGTGACACCTTCAGTAACCCCAACATCGAACTGGACCCCACCAGCCTGCTGATGGTCGTCCTCATCAGTGAGTATATTGCATGTGTGCAGAAAGTTATATGTTTATATAAATATGGTAAGCTCTTTGTGCTGTACACTGACTCCCCACTGCTTCTAATGCCATCTAACGTAAGATGGGTTAAATGTAGAAGATGCATATTATAATGAAAACATCTTTACAAATATTATACTTCCATTTAGACAGATCCTCCTAAATGTAGGAAATTCACTGTGTTGCCGAGAGTTAGATGTGAAGATAGATATCATTCTCATGTCTGCATGTACGAATCTACAGTCAGCCTCTGGTTAGCTTAGCACAAAGACTGGAAACAGGAGGAACAGCTAGCCTGCCTCTGTCCAAAGGCAAAGTCTATCTACCAGAATCTCTAAAGCTCACTGAATAACTTGTAATATCTGGTTTTGTTTAAATTATATGAAAACTAAATGAAAATATTAATAAAAAGATGAAGAGAGATAAAGTTGTTACATTAGTAGACAAACAAAATACAGCAATCTAGTGTCATCTAGTACAAGACACCAGGTAGGTGAAATATGAGTTTTACACTCTTATTTGACCTGTTTAGTTGAACATCAAGGTGAAACGTGTCTCTTTTGTTGTTCTCTGCAGTTTTCTCCATCCAGCTGAGCTTCATGCTGCTCACGTTTGCCTTTTCTACCAGGTGAGCCTCCTCCTCCTCCTCCTCCTCCATCTCCTCCTGTTATCCATCCTCTGCTCCTCTTTGACTATACCATCTGCTTCGTCTCCTCATTTCATCATTTTATTCAACAACCGTTACCTTTAATCGTTTTTATCTCTTGCTTTCGTTTTAACTCACACATAGTTCAAACGTTCACATATAAAGCCCAGTAGTGTAATTCAGTCTATTACTTTTCTTTTTGATATTTGTTACAGTTATTGAGATATGAATATTTTACTGTAAATCTTTTTTGAACAGAATTGTCAATTGTCAATTTCACTGAATTGTGAAAAATGTATTGCATATCATATTTAGATAAAGCTGAACAATATTTTAAGGTTTGTGTGTTTGGGTATCACTTGTCCGTTTAATTGGTTACCGAACTTTTGAAGGCATGGCCCGATGAATTTAACGGGCTATAATTCTTCAATGCTGAATTGGATTGCAGCCAAATTTGGGAAGGTTGTACATAAAGCACATTCATACAATTATACCAACAATAGCAGTCACAGAGGACAGGACAGATACAACTCAGAATTCTGTACTGTTTATTTAAATTAAAGTTCAGTGTAGATAGGTTGATGCTGTAGATACAGGGTAGAGTTCAGTACTGTAGATACAGGGCATAGGTCAATGCCATAAATACAGGGCAGAGGTTGATGCTGTAGATACAGGGCAGTGGTCTGTGCCATAGATACAGGGCATAGGTCAATGTCATAGATACGGTGCACAGGTTGATGCTGTAGATACAGGGCACTGGTAGATGCCCTAGATACAGGACATAGATCAATGCTGTAAATATATGACAGCAGTCCTTGCTGTAGATACAGGGCATAGATCAGTGCTGTCTATTTGATTCATATAATAGTAACAATAATGATAATCTTAATATTAACTTTAAGTTTTAGTGAAGTCTAATAATTTGACAATAATTGTGTGACTGCTGCATTAATTTTTTTCATATTGTTATTGTCAGTGTTTATTTTGCTTATTGTTCTTTTTCTTCGTCCGTATGTTTTTTTTGGACCGCTTTCTCTTTGGACTGCTATCTCTTGAACACAGTATTCAGTTATGACTGGTATCATCAGTACATGTAGCAGTAAAGTGCTGCAACATATTAACTGCTGTCAGACTTGTAAGAACATCCAAAGCTCATCAGTTGTGTTTTTGCTTGTGTTGCTTTGTCGTTAGGTAAAAATCATAGTATGATGTGCAAATACTGAGATAAGTAAATAATGAAAACAAACAGTAAGAGGTAACAGAGGAAAGAACATGTGGAAGTTTAGTTTTAGGATAACACGTTTATACACGAGCACAGTAACAAGTGAAAGGTCAGAGGTCACAACACCCAGACTGAGAGTGAACGATGAGAGTTTTTACCTTCTGTTTTTCTCTGCAGGTCAGGCTCAGGATTCAGCCCTGCAGACACTGTCGCCATCGTGTTCTGCTCCACACACAAGTCTCTCACTCTGGGTAGGTACACACACACACCTACACCTTAATGTAACTTATACATGTATGTAGTAATAGATTACAATTGACACACATGAGTAAACAAGTAGTTTTTAAATTGTACTTGTGCTCTTTACGCATGTACATTTTTAAACCAGTAATCCACTTTTTAATTGACATCTCACACAATGGTCTAACCTCTACACAGTCACATGTAGAGGGTTGCTAGGTTTTATGGAATTTAATGATACTACGTTAGGTAAATCTGAGTTTTACCAGTTTAAGGGGTCATAACGTCTTTGATCATCATGATGTAAGTGGGAGTTTGTGCCTGTTTCCAGTTCAGTAGAATTTATCTGCGAGCTAAAAGAATCAGAGAACCTTGCCAAGGTGGAAGTGTTGCCAAGTACCCCAAGTACAACCAACACAGGTCACGTTCGACCGCATGTCCTAGGATATCGGACAGAGATTTAAATATGGAGTTCCAAAAATTCATAATCTGGGCATACCGAAAATATGTGCCCCAGTGAAGCTGGAAATACCCCGACAGCAGTCACACAGGGGACTTCTGAAAGGTGGAGACGATGCAACACCCTGAACTGTGTAAGACCTTTCTTCTGACCACGATTCGATAATGTCCCAGAAAGAGGTGTCATAGAATCAATAAAAGAGAAGAAGATTTATGTTTTATTAGAATCTCACAGATTAAATTTAGATTATAGCAACGTATCAAAATATCTCTTTCTGTCTCCCTCCAGGTATCCCCATGTTAAAGATCGTGTTCGAGGGCTACGAGCATCTCTCTCTGATCTCAGTCCCTCTGTTGATCTACCATCCGGCTCAGATCCTGCTCGGCTCCGTACTTGTACCGACCATCCGCAGCTGGATGACCAGCCGTCAGAAGGTACACACACAAACGCACACACATTACAAGTGAAACCTCGCCGCTCTGCTTCAAACCCTGAGGACTCCATCACTGATCTCAAACTCCTGTCTACCTCCTGAGAGAGCCGGCTGCATTCCAACACTAACCTCGTCACCTTTTCTCCTCTCCTACAGTCTAGTCTGTTGTTGAGATAGGGCCGCATTCCAACACCACTGACCTGAGTGAGTAGACAACTGACTCCAAAACAGTGACTTAATAAACTGATCTAATTAAAAAGAAGCTGTTCATAATCAGAGCTGCAGCGCTGTTGTGATCATGTGACTTTGTGACAGTGTGTCCAGCAGGCACCTCTGGGCTTTCTACCCCTGTTCAACTGATATGATATTATATGATATGTTATATGATATGATTATTATTACTCCTTTGGGTCTATTAGTGTTTTAAAAACGAGCTCTGAGTGCAACAGCTCCCTCCGCTGTCAGGAAAACAATCTACAAGAATCTCCTGCTGGACTCACTGCTGCAAACTCACCAGCTTTACTTCAGTAACGCTGTACTGGTTTTAATGGTGGTGGGTGTGATGATGAGTAGGAGAATTATGCCAGAAAATTACTGTAAATCACCAATCAAAGAACTAATTTACAAAAACTTTGAGTTTAGTCAAATTTTTATTTATTTCTGATGCACCCCAGAGAGGCTTTTTGAGGCTGATATGAATCATAAATAGATCGCTTAAATTAGTTTTTTAAAGAGTTGTGATTAAGATATATACTGAACTGGACATTTTACAGGTAAAAAACATGTGTTTTTGACTTTTCTGTACTTCTACTGTAATGTTCTTTTTTACAGGAACAGTGTCAGTGTTACTAATCAGCTGACATACACACAGATACAATTAGAGCTGAGACAGTTAGTCAATTAACAATTTTACTATAAGCGAATAATCATTTATCATTTGCCATGCTAATCTGATAGTGAGGGTCTGCTTCCCTTCATACTGCTACCTTTGGTCAGCAGAAATCTGTCTTAACTAGTTTCTCTGGAACTTATCGATTAATTTAGTCTGTGAAATAGTAATAAAAATAGTGGAAAATGTCCATCACAAATAATCAGAGCACAAGGTGACATCTTCACGTCTGGCTTTGTTGAACCAGAAGTCCAGCACCCAAAGATATTGTGTTTACTATCATCTATGACAAAGAAAAACGACTAACTTTGACATTTGAGAAGCTGGGACCAGGAAAGTTTTGGTACAATATGACTGAGATGTTGAATTGTTGCAGCTTTATAGTTCTTTATCTCTTACTCAAGTTACAGGACTGGTTTTCTCATTTGTGTGACCAACAGTCACCTTAGTTACTGTGCAAGTAAGTGCAATTAAATGTTGTTGTGACTGTTGAGATGTAACAATCCCTACTGCACTAAAAGATAAGAATGATTTGTTTACTTTTGCCAGATGCACAAATTGAACTAGTACCAGTGTAGACAGAAGGGGCAGTACATGTTAAAGCCTCCATCCCACGTGCTGTAAAGGATTCTTTCTCCAAATGATTTCTCTCATTCATCTGCTGGTGGCGGTGGTGGATTCTCTCAACAGACTCCATTTGGAAATTCTCACTTTTCAGAACTGAATTTGAAACTACCCCTCACATCTTTGTCTCTTCTGTTTATGTTCTATCTGAATCTCTCACTCACTTACTCTCTCACACTTTCTGCTCCTCTCTCTCTTTCCATTCAGACCGTGAAACTATCAACTCTTCAGCCCATCTGACGAAACTGAAACAAGTGTTTTGGTAGTTCTGCACAAGTATGTGTGTGTTTGTGCTGTGACGGTGGACTACTGCGGAGGGATACAGCAGTACGTGCCTTATTACAACCAATCAACAGAGACCTCAGCCCGACGGAGGGGACGAAGCGTGCCAGTTGCCTCGATATTCTCCGTTTCTACGACAACGAAAAATTCTCAAAAATTATTTCCATCATATATATATTCTTTTATATTTAAAAGAATCAAATGTACAAGTTTATTTTTATATGAAGTACCCAAAAAATTCTGCAAAAAGAGGACAGCTGTTATTCGTTTTTTAAGCACATGGAGAGTTTGTTTTGAAAAACAGCACCTCCCAGCAGGAACAGGAAGGGTGGAGTTACTGGGACCATTCTTTTTTATTTCTCTTGCTATTTTTTCACATTTTTCTACTGTATCTTTCTTCTGGCTGTCACTGCCAGAAAGTGTGGACGTTTGTTACATTTATGCTCTTGATAGAAACAAATGAATGCTGGATTATCAGACATTTAAAATACAGTTATAATAATGACAGCTGTTTGGATTTTTGACACTTTCTTAAAATAACATTTGTGTTTGTTGACAAGAAGCAGTCCAGTAGTGACAACTTTGAGATGATGGTGTGGAGTTAACTCCAAATGAAGGTATGATGGGAAGAAAGTTTAATTTAACACAATATCATAATCTTTCCTTCTTTTACGTCTATAGTCTTGCATCTATATGTAGATGATATCCTTTTTTTTTACATCTATGGTAATGTTTGCCGACATCGTATTGATCACAAATTACCATCTCTCATTGCTCGTAATGTTACGCTAATGATGTTTCGCAGGTATGTTTTCCATAATCACCATGCTAACATTTGCTAATTAGCGCTAAACAAAAAGTACAGCAGAAACTGATGGTAATGTCATTAGTTGTGAATGTATTTGGTTATAAAACAGTGTTGCATAAAAAGTCAGGGGATCCCCAAAGTTATTATAGTTCATCCTGAGGTGACATGTCTGTCCCAAATTCATGGCAATCAATCCAACAGTTAGACATATCAGGGCCATATCACTCAAAACTACAATAGCTTGTTTGCCCATGATGTCACTTTACTGCGTTCCTGTGGTCCAAAAAAAAAAAAAAAGCCTGTTGTGAATCGTTAATTGTGTTCTCTAAATAATCAAACTTAGAAACCCCAAGGAACTTTTATCAAGTACCAAAAAGTTGTTGACTCAAATTGACTGAAAAATGCTAGAAAACTGCTTCCGAGTACTTCTGTGGACAGGGCAGCAGCAAATAGCAGTTTAAGGGTATGCTATATTTAGAATATTTTCATCACTTTAGCTTGCTGTCAGCCTTTTCTGATTGGGAACTGAAGCGCTATATCAATGTCCTCAAAGTCACCAGACTCCTTTTAACAAAAGTCAAATGATTCTGGTGGCTTCAGTTCGCCATCGGAAAGGCCAAGTCTTTAAATTCAGCTGATAATCGCATCCAGCATAGGTGATTTTCTGTTTTGCTCTTTCTCTCTAATATTGTTTAAACTAGCACCGAAGAGACTTTCCTCCATCTTATCCATTCTGTTCTGTGCCACTTCCTGCCCTCCATCTGAATTTAACGTGTCATCAGTATCACGTAATTGCAAACAAGCTATTGTCAAGCTCACAATGGTACAAGAGGAAATGACAGGGGACCAGCAAAGTCTATAGGATTCATCCTCTGGGAACCATGAATGTCTACACAAAATTCCATCTAAAACATTGTAGTTGTTGAGATATTTGACAGGATGAGTTAGCAAAGATCACCAAAGTACTTGGGTTTCATCATCTGGGTACCATGAATGTCTGTACCAAATGTCATGGCAATCCATCCCGTAGTTGTTGAGATATTTTAGACCAAAGTGGACTGACCAACAGACTGACACTGCCATTTATATAGCCACGCTAGGGGTAAATATAAAATTAAGGTCTTGAAACAAGGTCGTGGCCTAGTAATCAAACTGATATGGTCAATGACTGAGGCGTCTGGAATACGATTTGCCCTATTCAGAGGGATGACAATGAATGTATCATCCATGAAAGACTTATTCTCCGTGCATTCATACAAGGCTGACAGTATTTTGAGCCAGCGTTGGTCGGTTTGTGATTGTGGTTTTATGGACCAGACTGTCAAACGCGTATATAACAAGGGCTTGACTTTGTTCAGGGGCTGGTCTCACTACTTACATCCCTCTGATGTCAATTCTGATTTTCCTAGGACCTTCTTATGAAGATATTTGAGGGCCTCAGTTCTAAACAGCTGATTGTGTTTCTGTTGTAGTAGAATTAGTATGTTAACATTACCATCACTCTTTCCTAAATCAGTCTACTTGATAGTAGCACCCTGACCAACCATGGGAAGTTGCTAGTCTAATGAACATCAATGAACATCAGGACATGATGCCTCACAGGCTTCCCATTAACATACACTGCCACTGGATTGTAAGTGTGTGTAGGACATCCAACTATCGTAACATTACCAATCCCTTTTTCCTAAACATGACCACAATCTTACCTTAAATCTGCAATAATTGAAGTTTTTTGGCAAGTTATGCAAACAGCAATGATATATTACTGCCTTTTAATTTAGAAATGCTTAGTAAAACAGTTGTTTATTTACACATCCAGCAGTTGTACAACAAAATTATCATTCATTGGTAGTCGTGTTTGTGTCCACCTGATGAATGTAAGTCCAGTATTCACTCACTTTTAGCTCAGTTTTTTGTCTCTACCAGCTCCTGAGGGAAATATCTGACTCTTTAGCTGCTAAATGCTCCATTATGTTTACCGGTTAGTTGCTAACTGTGTCTGTCTGCTGTTTGGTGCTGAACAGCAGCTTCTTAAGGCCAAAAATTACTATGTTAACCAGAACAGTTAAGTTGTGGACCACAGCGAAAAACAGTGAGCTAAAACTCACTACAAAGCTCCATAAAGCAGAGGGGAGCTGCATATTCAGGTGATGATTCTTTGTAGGTACATCACTACAAGTGACATCTTTCACATTATCATTTAATATATTACTATAATGTAATGTTAAAATAAAAAAATATCTGTTATAGCTGCTTTAAACAGGTGTTTTATTTGCCTAACCCCAACCATACCTTAACCATAGTCTTTGCCACAAACACAATCTTTCCTATAGCTGTCAGGTGAAGAAAGAAATGAATTTAAAAACATTGGCCTTGGATGTTAAAAGACATTGTAATTGAACATAGTCTTGTTCAAGAATCTTCATTGTTATGTCTGACAATAGCGCCGGGAAGCAAAAGTCTATTTCTTGAATAACCTTCACAGATACCAGAGTGTTTGTTGAGAATGTTACTGATTTGATCTACAGACACAAAGAACGACTTCAGCTCCATGTTTTCAGCCTGGTTGGTAGATATTTATGTATCTCTAACAAACAGGAGTCATCCACTGTTACTATGGAGGTTATTAAAGCCTCTACAACGCTAATGCCATTTCATTGGCTGTCCAGTAACAGTTGAGTTTATAGTCAGCCTCTGTCTGTTTACAGTGTTATTGTTTTGCCAGTAGTATATTTTGGGAAGAAATATGGTCAACTGGGTATGTGTGGGTCTGTTCTGCTGCTTGTTTACATAAGAAGGTATAAGGAAATAAACCTACAAACTTTGAAAATTGCCTGTTGTTTTTCTGCTTCACACTGCAACTATACTCACCAAAGCTGTAAGCAATGAGAGAAATATATCCATGGCACTCTTCTATGAGATGAAAAGTGTAAGGTTTTTGCAAATTACACCAATATTATATATAGGCTACTGGATAGTGAAGTTTTAAATTATGATGTGATGTGCTATGTCTATGTTCTGCTAAATGATTCCTTATAATAATGATAATTATACACCCCTGCACAGTTAACACACTGTTGAAACCCAGATTTTATCCTGCAATTTATACAGTGGCTTGAATATGTTTTTCTTATTTTCTCTTGAACTTGTGAACACCCCTGTATGCAATCAGTGTTCTCTCTATTATAATATGTAATAATATTATATTCATTCCTCCTCAGGGTGAGTTTAGATACAGTAAATATGTAGTAAAACCTTAAATTTGTTGTTTGGTCAAATTGGAGAAACACACTGGGAATTATTGGCAGCTCATTAATTTTACTGACCCAACTTTTTTGGACAGATGGCTCTTCTGTCACATCATTTGGATGAAGTAATAATAAAATAAGACTGTGAAAGCCATGCCAAAAGACTCTAGAGGCCTTGTGCCGCTTCTAATGCACAACCCGACCCACGTGATTTGAAATTAGTAAGCAACCAGCACTGCCATCCATAAATCCTCATGCTGCAAGAGCTAAAATAAAGATATACACATATACTGGATACTGAAAATATGCTTTATTATTATGTCCATCCATATGATTTAACACCATTTACAAATAGATGAAGTAGTAATGTTTAATATTAGTTTTAGATTGACCTCATATATAAACCTCAGTGGGAAAAAATCCTAATTACAATATGCAAAGGTATTAATTAGTTATACCTCAGCATGCAAATCCTGAATTTATACAAAAACATTACCTAATCATACAATCGTAGCTGGACTTACAGCCCCTGTGTCACTATCCTCATACTAATACTGTGGGGTGTGTTTACAGAGTTTCTATTTATCTTTCTGATGCATGCTAGATACAAACAAAAAATCCACCAAATGGTGTGTGTCATCCTAGCTTTGTAAATTTCCTACTGTCTATCAGAAGGCAGATTGTAGTTTTAGTTCTCTAAACATGTTGGAGGCAGAAATCTCTATTGGGAGAAATGTTTAGCCAAGAACATCTTGTAGAGCACAAGTTGGTTATTTAAAAAAAACAAGAGTAAAACTCCTGCTACCTGCTAATGGTCCCTAGAGGCTCCAATGAATAGTACCACAAAAGTGGGTGGAACAAAGTATGTGTTAATAACTTTTATATAGAGCATTGGTTGTGCAACTGTAGGTGAAAAATGCTGTCCTAAAGTTCATATTTTGGCCTACGGGTGGCCCTTTAACTGCAGTCTATCATTACTATTAGTGTACAAGTATAAAGTCTGGCCTAATGGTTAGCCTACATAGTCATAAATGTGATTTATCCTCTGAGGATCATGAATAGCCATAGCAGATTTCATGACAATCTGTCAATTACCTATTGAGATACTTGTCAAGCACTAAAGATTTGTTGGAGGAGACATTTTAGTCTGAATGTCAGGCCAACATTGCCACCATTAAGCATCAGCGCTAGTGGGGCAAAAATATATTTAATTCATTTATATAATTTTGTTCATGATTTTAGAATACTGTAAGCTAGCCTGGATTAGTCAAGTCAAGTTTATTTATAGAGCACATTTAAAAACAACAAACGTTGACCAAGAGATTAAATGCTCTACCATCAGCTTGTGTCAAGCTTAAAAGCTAATTGGAAAGGCAATGCTAACTAGCTACCAGTGATCAAGGTAACTTTGTATATTTGTATTTTTTAAGTTAGTAACGGAATGATACACCACATAATTTTCACCTCAGTTCAACCTAATATTACTAAGGGCACCTTAAACCCATATGATTATTTCTACCCTTACAGCAGCTCTGATTTCAAGAAATGTTTTGGTGTCTAAAATTCTCTGCAGCATGTAGGTAGCTTGTATTTCAGTCTCCAGGTGATGCCAGTATATCATACTCTGCCAGGAGCACAAAACTGTTCTCTCTGATTCTCCGGACTCTGACCAAATCTCCACACTCCTGGACATGGATCAGCCCTCTCTCTCCTCTCCCATGCTCTCTCTCCCTGTGGTTCAGCGTCACTTCTGTCCGTTTGCCACAGGACTGACGGTACATGTACCTTACCCCAACCACAAGCACCATGCCAAATCCAGCTGAGCAGCCCAGAAGCATGCCCAGCTCCCAGGCACTGTATCTGGGGATAATGTCTGGATGCTTCCCTTCCTTGTCTGAAGTTCCAGAGGGACTTGAGGGACGTTTGGATTTAGTATCAGTGTTGGGAGGGTTTGGTTTCAACCCATGGCCAAGATTCAGTTTGAAGTTTGGGTCAAGGTTTGGATGGGGTTTAGGGTTTGGGTGAACCACTGTTCTTGGTGTCGGTGGATTGAGGTTTAGCTCAGGATCAGATGACGCAATGTGGTTCTGAATTAGCAACCTCTGACCTAGGGTGAGTTGCTGAGAAGGCACAGGGGTGGCAGTGGACGTTGGAGGGTGATAGAGAGAGCGACGGGGTGCTGGAGAAGGTTCGGGGTGAGGGGAGCTAGACTGGAAGGACACCAAAGAAGAAATAGTGGCAAATGAGTTGGAGGGAGATGAGGAACCCAGTGAGGAAGATGTTAAGGTAGAAGTAGAGATGGATGAAGATGAGGGAGGAGGTGAAGGGGGAGAAGCAGCAGAAGAAATGGAAGAAGGTGATGAAGCAATGGAGATGGTAGAAGAAGGTGAGGAAAAGATTAAACTTGTGATAGACTGGGAGGAGGTAAATGGAGATGAGGAAGATGCAGATAAAGAAACTGAGGAAAAGGGAGTTGATGATGGATAGTGGGAGGAGTTCAAGGAGGGTAGGGATGAAGAGGTGAAGGAGGTTGGCGTAGGAGAGGGCGAGGAGGGTTGAACAGAGGGAAAATGAGGTGGAATGGAGATTGGGTAAGGAGAGGGGGGAGCAGAAAGAGCTGGAGCAGTTTTGGGTTGCTTCTTCATAGAAGAGGAAGATGAGAAAGAGGAATGTGTAAAAGAAGCTCCAGAGGGGTAAAGAGGAGTGGTAGAACTAGGGTAAACAAGGGAAGAGGCAGGCAAAGTATATTTGGAAGAAAAGGATAAAGAATGAAGTTTAGAGGAGCGGGTAGACCCTGAAAAAGAAAATGGAGTGGCTGAGGGAATGGAGGCAGGGATTGGACTCCTGGTTTTGATCTTTCCTTTAAACTGAAGTTCTTTGACCTCTTTACCCTCACTCAGAATGAAGGTTGGGTTAGACCTTGACATGAAGGGCAGAGGACTGATGAACTGAGGAGTTACTGAGATTTGAGTTAGCTTCCACTCAAAGGTGTGTGCCTGTGGAGCACCAGTTTGAGAATGTGGCTGGGACCACGATTGGGGGGAGGTACCTAAAGCCTTAGGTGGTGTGTCAGACTGGGACTGGTCTGTGTGAGGAAAGCTAGCTTTAACTGCAGTTTGAGTTGCAATAGTTTGGTGCAGGGCTGGAAGAAAACTGTTCAAAGGGTGAGGCTGAGCAGTTGTTTTAAGCTGAAGGTGAGGTGAACTGGTTTGCCTTGGTATAGTTTTAGATCCAGATGGACTCACAGGCTGGTAGTTTGATGGGACATTGAGGATTTTGTTTTGAAGGGGCTGGAGAGATGAAGTTGTGTGGGACTGGAAAAAGGACTGAAGAGTAGGAGATTTGGATGGGAAAATTAGGTTTGGTAAAGAGGGCTGGGACTTGGAAAAGGGCGTAGACAAAGATTCCTGGGAGAAGGGAAAGGTCTGACTTGTAACTGTTTGGGACTGAAGAAAATACTTGTGTGAAGATGTTCGGGAAAGGAGCAAAAGCCTGAGTAGAGGATTCTGGGCCTGGGGCAGAGACTGGTTACTCATTGCATCCTTGATTAGACTCATCTGCGACTTTGTTAAGCTTATCCTCCAGGGCTGTGATGAACTACTCTGGGTCTCCAACTTTACAGAACTAGTTTGGTCCTGGATTGGTCCTCTTGGATTGTGGGATGTGAGTCTTGGGGGATTTGTGCTGTGGAAGCTGTAATTGGTTAAAGGTATAGCTGTGGTGGTGGTTTCAGGATTTATTGTTTTGTCTTTTGTTTCAGGAACAGTTGTCAGTTTTGGATCCTGAAAGTTTATCTGTTCCTCTTTTCTCTCCATCTCGGCATTGTTCAGAGGGTGGAGGGAAAAGATTAAGGTTTCCACTGAGATGTTGGGCAAAGGAGTGGTAGTAGCTTCAGCCTCAGCTGAGGAGATAGAGGCTGTGAAAGGAAGGTGGTTGGACGATGAACGAGAGCTCTTGGGGTCCTTGGTATGAGTAACAGGGCTTCCTGTGTCAGTGCCTGCCTCTTCAGTCACACCTGACAGGGATCCTGAAGTTGTACCAGTCTCACTGTTGTTAGTAGCATTTTGAAGAGACCATAAAGTCACAGAGCTGTTCCTTTCATTCACTGCCTCATTTGTCAGGTTGTTAACTTCAAAGGATGCAAAAGTTACAGAGATGTTCATCTCCAAGACTGGACGAGTGACTTCTATTGGTGTTTCCTGAGATTTGTAGCTTTGAGTTCCACTGCTTGTTGTTGTAAGGGACCCTAGGGTAGTAGCAGGAGTGGCTGTCTTGTTTGTTTGTTTGTTTGATGCTCTATGGGCTCTGAGAGCTGTGAGACAACAAGATGAGAGCAAGGTATTAGTTATAATGAGGTGTGGATAGAGAGATAGAAAGATAGTCATCTTGCCTTGGCCTGGAGTTGCATCTTCTGACTTTCCATAAATAACCACAGACAACCTCTTCCTATTTACCAGAGGGGTATGGAGTATTTCTTATAGTATATGTGATGCAATGTACATCCAGCATTACACAAATTGCGTACCCAGTAGAGCAGTAACTTCATCTTCCTGTTGTGCAAAACTTGA